CAGTATGGCAGTAGGGAAGTTGCCCTTGACTTTGATGGAAGCAGACCCGTAGCTCATGTCCTCAGTGAAACGTCACAGTACAGACATCTCAGTAGCCTCTGCCAGGCTTGTACTTAGTATGCCTCAGACGCAGAAGGGCATAGTTCCTCTGCCAAGGGGTAAAGCTGTCAAAGACAGTTTTTCTCAACCTAAATCAATCAAATGACCTTTTGGGAGCCTAAGAAATGAAGAGGTTTTGGGTTTTGGTTTTTTTTTCCCCTGAAAAAGAAAATTCAAGACCCATCTTGTCCATGCTGCTTTGATGGTTTTCATTGACGACCAAATAAAAGCTAGTCTGAACTCTGAATGTTCATTATTTTTGTTATTTCTCCAGTTTGTTTGCTTCCTCATATGTATACATGGAAGCATGAGGGAGCGGAGTGATGAAGAAAGGGGTGACTTCCATTAGGTTTGCTGGTGATTTTTTTGCAATGGTTTCTTGCTGGTTTGCAGACCACTGCTTGGGAAGCACCCATGTAAAAGATGTTCTCTCAGCTGGGTTTAAAGTAAAGCCAAGATCAGAAAGGACACTTGTGATCCAGCACAGAGGCTCAGAGACCAAAGCATGGTTTCCAAACCCACTGTTTGCTCATGGACCTAAGCCCCCACTCAGCAAAGCAGCGTAACATCTCTTTAAGGTTGTCCTCATTTGGTAAAACACCTAAACGCGTGCTTTGCTTAATTGAATATGTGCTTGCTTAAGAGCCACTGACAGCAGCGATCCCCTGTTTTGGTGAACTGGAACCTTTTCTTGTCATTTATAAATCATCTGTAATGGCCATCCCTTGTAGATGCACGTGAGTATGTACGCCCATGAGCATCCCACTGAGCCCGGTCACGCTCGCTTCTGCCTGAAAACTGCTCATGTGCGTAACCTTGCCAGATCGCGGCCTTGCTTTATAACTAATTTAAAAACTAAATGAAATGTTTCTTCTCCAGAAGGGAAATTCTGATGCAGAAATGTGCATTAAGCAGTTAGGGTATTACAGGTTTTAATATCCGAACTCCATTAAATGAATTGTTTTATCATTTGCAGAGGATTCATTACTTTCTAAGAGGCCTTTTGTCAAATAAGCATTTTGCAAACTAAGCTAATCAGCTCTGTTCCTGTTTGTAATTCTCCCACTACAAATATTTATACATTATAATTTGTCCTTCTGCTTTCCTGCCTATCTAAGCACAAGCACATTAAAATTTTTCTGACATGCCATTGCATTCGGAAAAGCCCTGCAGGATATAACAGAAAATTATAAACTCTCTGTATTTTTTTTTTCTTTGTGGGCCATTACAGAGAGTTTAACAGAGCCAGCAGGAGCGACGAAGGGCCGTGCTAACTAGTGCCAGCCATGCCACGGTATCCCTCCTTGCTCACGTGCTTTTTTTGCCTCCCCCGCCTGGCCCCAGTGCTGCCAGGAGTGATGCCAGAAGCTGTACCCCTTGCACTGCTCTCTTGGATTTAGAGGGGGGATATTTAGCTGCTTGTGGCAGATC